GAGAGAGAGAGAAAGAGAGAGAGAGAAAGAGAGAGAGAGAGAGAAGGGGGGGGGGGGAATGGGAGAATGAGAGATATCTTAATTTTGAGCTGAAGAAAGAAATAGAGAGTGTGGGTGGCAAGGAGAGCAGAAAGATTGTGGAAGGAGAGTGGCGAATATGTTAGGCTAGCTTTTGGGAGCGAGTTGGTGGTCAGATGTGTGGTCATCCCTCCACCTCCCTCCCCTCCCCCTCCAACCCTATCCCCTAGTCCGTCTTTCACGTGAAAATCGCAGCACGTTCAGCAATTCATGCTCGCGTCAGCGTGTGAGCTGTGACTGCCTTCACAATGCAAGTCATCCGAGAGTTCTGATCTGAACAGTGAAATAACACATACACTGTGCTGCGTGAATGTGATTTGCATTTCTGTGTAGGCCTATCTCCCAATCATCTCATCTCGTATCCGCCTTGACTCTGGTCTACTTGGACTTCCCCACACAATTGTGCGTTGTCAATGAACACACGCGTGACAAGAGTTAGTTTTTTTCAGGTACGTATTAATTTCATCAGCATGGTAGTATAGGCCAAGAGTAACTGTTATAATGGGCTTACTGCAATGATACTTGTAAGCTTATAGATCTAATGACTGAGTACACTATGTGTCAAGGCATTTTAAAAAGATATTTTTCCTCAGGGGGGAAAGTTCGTGTGCGTGATCGTCTCTGTCCAAGCAATCACGGCTGGGCCGTACGTTTTATCTCTAAAAAGAAAAAGAAAAACCCTCCCGTAATGATGACTCGTCGCAAAAATCAAAACCTCCGCATTCCCCCCTCGGTTGCACGCTGCTTGAAATAGACCTACATCCAGGCTCAATTCAAGAGTCGCAGTGGGTCTATTTCTTGATCTCCCTCCCCCCTTACACAACTTACAGCAATTCGATGTAGTCGTATCGTTCGTTTCTGAGTGACGAAGCAGAAACAGACGAGCAGCCAACCCATGGCGATATAATATTCGATACCACACATGATTCGGGGACTTTGTAGGCTACGTTCACGGTAAAGAGCAACCATTGTGTAGGCCTCTAACTCTAAGGAAATAAGAGAGCGCGATTAGCATTACCCTGCTCGTTGTGTTCAACCCAAAGAGGTGAGTGAGTAGCCTACGCTAGTGAATACTAATGTAAGCTGAGCGAAATTATTTTGTTGGTGTGTTCTGCTTACGGTCGGTGACTGCTTTTGCTGTGTCCATAAGCGGAGACTTAACGGCTTGAGTTTAATTTTTTGACTGTTTTCCAGACTTTTCGTGAATTTTAAAATATTTTCGCCATCATCCGCGCTCTATTTTACTCAGGAAGGCCTCCCTAGACGTTTGTGCGCTATTTCTTAAATTATCAGTTGTTGTTTTTTTGCGTCTAAGGGGTTTCTATAATAATGCATGATATAATCTAGATTTTTAGATCTAGATCTAGTCGAACTTGCTCTGACCCCCCCCCTTTCCTTCCTTGCGCTTTTTTTAAAACATTAAAATACTGTGTAAGACGACGGTCAACTGTCTGAGGAAAACCTCTTTTCTCCTCGACGATAGGAGGCGTTTTAGACAGTTTCGACTTTCGACTGCTTGCAATTCGAATCTCCATTTTGTATGTCTACGTCTGTGCTTGTTGCCTGTGTGGCGTGTGCCATGTACACACCCGGTGTGTGTGTGTCGTGTCAGCAGCACGCATCATCTATCTCCCAAGGACATGCTGTATGCTGGTCACTTATGCGCTACTATTGTCTCTTGCTTTTTCGTGGGAAGGACTTTTGTAACGAGCGACCACCCCAACAAACACAATAAAGACGGGACCCAAACCTACCCCTACCTCTGTTCCTGCCCTCTAGCCCCTAGCCCCTACCTATCCCTAGACCCCTACCCCTACCCCTAACCCTTCACCTCAACCCCATACCCTAATCCTAACCCTACATCCGGACCCAAACCCTAGCCTTAACCGTAACCCTAACCCTCTTTCTATTTCGTAGTGGTCGCTCGCTACAAAATTCCTCCCTTTTCACGTGTTCATCTTTATTGTTTAGAATCTAGAATCTAGTTGTCTTCAGAAAAAACTGGGGCAGTGGCCGGGTCTGTAGTGCAGTGGTTCCTAGGACAGTCATTGTTGCACATCAGAAGACGCAGCAATTTCGATTCCTGATTGTGAAAGTAGGCCTTCATGTACGTGAATGTGTATTAGACTAAATTAACGATCCTATTGTAGGCCTATAACATACTAAAATTTTATCAAGCATCTCCATCTCTCTGCAGGCAGGGTCCAAACAGCCCGCCTGCTATATAATCTAAACTGCACTAATGAGCTCGTCAAAGATTCACCATCATTCGTTTAAGGCTAGGTAAACGCCCCCTTTTTGTGCAACACAGGCGACTTAAAAGAACGTGTTCCGGAGTAGGCCTAGAGAAGGCACGCGCATGTGTCACTGAGTGCTACGAATTAAGCCAGTTGGCACAATCGACGAGGCAACAACTAAGGGCAATGACCCGTGTTCGTAAATAGCCGTGATTCGTATAGTATTAGATCTATATTATTATTGTTATCGTCATGTCTCTTTACTCCATTAATCTCCTACCAGCATTCAAATAAATGATAGCAGAAG